TAGAGACGGGGTTTCACCATGTTGACCAGGATGGTCTCGATCTCTTGACCTCATGATCCACCCGCCTCGGCCTCCCAAAGTGCTGGGATTACAGGCTTGAGCCACTGCGACCGGCCCCAGCCCTCCTTAAATGCAAAAGAGAGATGGCAACAATGAACCATTCAAACTTCCAACCAATATCCCCTGAAGCCACAGAAGATGAGACCTAAGGGAAAAAGAAATCCACCCTCCTTAACATCAGCTAACAGCAAGGGAGTGAATGTCTGGTACAGACCCCAGAATTCCTATTTCACATTCTGATTTGGCACTTTCATCATAATTATTCAAGTGGGAAAATCTCCTCTACTTTTTCTGTGAAGCTGTTTCTTCTCCTTCTGGACCATAATGGCATGATGATTGAGGAAGTAAAAGGATAAAGAAGAAAGGATGCAGGCTGTTTCTTCATATATTCGATCATTAATGTTTGAATATGGTGAGGTCCTTGTCCTCAAGGGACTAATAGTCTGGGATGAAGGGTGCAGGTGGGACAGATGTAAAAACAGAATTTCAGATGCAGATGCTACATGTGATTATGAAAGTCTGCAGAGGGCCAGGTGCGGTGGCTCATGCCTGTAATCCCAGCACTTTGGGAGGCTGAGGTGGGCAGATCACAAAGTCAGGAGTTCGAGACCAGCCTATTCAACATGGTGAAACCCCGTCTGTATTAAAAATACAAAAATTAGCCAGGCATGGTGGCAGGCGCCTGTAATCCCAGCTACTCAGGAGGCTGAGGCAGGAGAGTCCTGGGAAGCGGAGTTTGCAGCAGGCCTAGAACGTGCCATTGTACTCTAGCCTGGGGCAACAAGAGCAAAACTCCATCTCAAAAAACAAAAACAAAAAGTTTATAGAGAAGAGGTCATAAAGTAGGGTAGTAGTTTTTTTAAATACGTATCTTCCTTTTTCTCTCATCATGCTCAAACTTTTCTCTACTTTCTTGAAAAAACTGGAATGTATTTATTAAACTGTGTTGACATTCTGCTGATTCTGTCATTTGTCATTTCTGGTTGATTACTGATTGATTTGTCCACTCTACACTGAACAGGGGAATCCAGGAAGCCTTCACAGGAGAAATAACCCTAGTGAAAGAAAGGGCCTTTCAGGCAGCGAAAACAGCACACAAAAATAGGGTAGAGTGCAATAGAATAGCTCACGGAGCCTGAGAAATTCCGTGACACTGGAACCTGGATTATGAAGGGGATATGTTTAAGGGCTAAGGCTGGAGAGACTGGTGATGGCTCAGAAGGTGGAGAACATGATCTGTCAGCTAAGCAGTCAGAACTCATCCTATAGAAAGTAAAGAGCCTCTGGAGGGATCTAAAGGAGAAAGTGACTTGTTTTAAATGGCCACCATTTAAAACAAAGTAGAGAATGGATTGAGAGAGGTGAGACTGGAGAAAGGCCACTTAAGAAGCTATTAGTGAGTGATGACAGCAGCTTGGAAAAGATCAGATTCAATGGGGTTGAAGAAAAGTGGATAGATTTGATAGAGCTTTAGAAGGGAGAATCTAATATGATAAGGAAGGTGATTTCTGGCTCTTCACAGGAAGAAGAGGCTGGAAGAGAGGAAGCAGGTGAGGAGAGATTATAAAATGAGTTAGGATGGGTGGGGTTTATCCTCTGAGGTTCCCATGCCAAATTTCCTTCCGGTGACCAGTTTTACCTTTCTCCCTGACCCCTTCATCCCCACCTGGTCATAAAGGATAGATATGCCACTTGTCTTTGCTGGACCTCAATTTCCATCCATGAAATGAAGGGACTGGGATTGAACCCCTGCCTCTTCTCCCAGGCTGAGCGGAGCTCTCCCTTCTCTGAGTCTTGCAATGTCTGTCTCAGTCTCACACTACTAAGCCTTTGCTGCCTGGCATCCCCATGCTCTTTCCCCAAGAAGAGTTGAAGTTCTTGGAGGGCAGGGCACCTTAAGCCACTTGGCATCCTTCACCAGCTGCTTGCAAGGGCTTCTTCAGGCCTGAGAGGCCAGTCTCCCTGGGTATAGAAGACTAGTTTTCAGGTTGCTTCTTGCTATCCCCAACGTCCTTATTCTCCAGAACTTTCAGATGCTGGGTCCCAGGCCCATTTCACTGAGCTCTCTGCAGCTGGAATTTATCTTGCCCTAGCGCCCAGTGGAACAGCACTGGGGGTGCAGGGATATGCAAGCTGATGGGAGAGAAACATGGCAGGAGTCCCAGGTCTTGGAGAGTTGGATCCAGATCCTGTGTCTTGTAGAAATGTGTGTGTGTTCATGTATATATACGTATGCATGCATGTGCAGACATATATGTGTGTGCATGAGTATTGGATGGAAGTGTCTCTGGTTTTTTTCTGTATGAAGTTATATGTAAAGTTTCATGTATGTATGTGCATCTAAACCATGATGCATGAGCCAGTGTACACATGTCAACATCTATATGCCCAGGGGTATTAATGCCTGTGTATATGTGAGGGCCTTTGCTGGCAAATGCATGCATCTGTCCACATACCTGTTGGCAAGTGGGTGCATATATGTTATACATATATACATACATATATACATATGTGTGTATATGAGTGCTGCACTGCGTGTGTGTGTTTATGTGTGTGTGTACATTCACTGTTGTATATAAATGGAGGCAGAATACAGTGTCTAGTTAAGAGGATTTGCTTCAAAGTCTGGCTATCCATGTTCAAGCTCTGAAATCAGCATTTAGAAGCTATAGGCCTGGCTTGGCATGGTGGCTCACACCTATAATCCCAGCATTTTGGGAGGATAAGACAGGTGGATCACGAGGTCAGTAGTTCAATACCATCCTAGCCAACATGGTGCAACCCCATCTCTACTAAAACAATACAAAAAATTAGCCGGGTGTGGTGTGGCCCATAGTCCCAGCTATGTGGGAGGCTGAGGCAGGGGAATCGCTTTAACTCAGGAGGTGGAGATTGCAGTGAGCTGAGATTGTGCCACTGCACTTTAGCCTGGTGATAGAGTGAGACTCTGTCTAAAAAAACAAACAAACACAAAACTATAGGCCTTTGAGTAATTATCTTTTTAAAGCATTGGTTTACTCATCACTAAATTGAAGGTAACCCTTCAATGTCTAATGTGAGGGTGGAATGATATAATGCCCACAATCCACTTAAAATAATGCCTTCTACATAGGGGGTGTTAAAAATATTGGTTGTTATAAAGTACTTCATGGCAAAAAATAGGTAAGTGGCTGGCTTGAGGATCTCTGAGGCTTTCTGCATGTGCATCTGTGCCTCTGGGCACATGAGGTTGATGTGTGTGTCTGTTGGAATGTGTGTGTTGGTATGGACAGACTCCTCTGGGTATACAGGCCTGTGCTTGGGGGCGAGTGAGCCTGTGTGTTGTGGTTTGCTTGTGAGTGTCTCTGTGTGCATTTGTGTTCTGCCAGGATTGTGAACCTTCCAAGGGAAGGGATTGCGTCTAATTAATTAGTGTACCCAGGCCCCGGGACCTGGGATATGCTAAGCAAATTTGTGTTGACGGAATGAATGAAATGGACTGGACATTCAGAGATTGTTATTCAGACAACATGACCATTTGTGAAGAACAGGAAGGTGTAACTAGCTAGCTAGATGATAATTGAGTAAGTACGTACATAGATGATAGGTAGATAGTAGGTAGATGGTAGACAGATAGAAGAGAGATAGATAGATAGGTAGATAGATAGGTAGGTAGATAGATAGATAGATGATAGGTAGACAGCCAGACAGATAGCTAGGATTGGCTCTAAATGGAATCCTAAGTACTTTATCCTGGAAGTTATATTAAAGTTCATATGTCTCAGGGAGCTTCAAAACTTTGGCTCTGGCAGCACTGCGAGTTATTATGGAGTTGATTTGAGGGCCTGCAGAGAAAGAAATTACAGAATGGGAGAGCTAAGCCCTCCATCTGACATCAACAAGAATCAATTTGCTTTTAATCTCTCCATATTGGATGTTCATGTTAAATTGTATTTAAAGTTCCGCTACTACAAATGTTTGAAAATCTTGTTACAGACCAACCTCTTTTATTTTAGAGAAGGGAACTGCTGAGCCTTAGAGAGGGGAAAAGCTTAGAACCTGACCTCTCTTTCAGGCCTAGTTCTACCATGCCACCTGCCTTGGGATGTAGTAAGTATGACTCCTCTAACTCACTGGGAAACAGAAGCCAATTCCTCTCAAGAACCCCTCTTTTAGAGAAGCCACTATCATAGTGGCCTTTGGGATGTCTGTCCAAGAAACAACCCCATTTGTGTGAGACCTTCTTCATCAGGTCAGCCCCTTTGGCTGTGTGTTAGATGGTCCCAGTCCCTTGGCCCAGACTTTTGGACCCTGACCCAAGCAGCAAAATCAAATTCCCTGATGCAATTTGGAGGGGGGACAGCAGAATGTTAATCAGTCTCTGTTAGTCCCTGAATTAGGAAGTGATGTGAAGCTGGAATGTCCATATTTAATCAAGGGATAAGTGAACAGGAAAAGCTAGCTTCAGAGACAGAAAAGGAAAACAAAGGAGAAGCAAAGATATGCAGTCATAAAAAGCCATGTGACTTCCAGAAGAGGGACTAAAGGAAAGACAAACTTTGGTTTCTTTTGGCTTGCCAGGCCTCACTCCTAGAGTTTGTGCAGCATTTATGTATCTCTTGCACTTGAACTTTGTGCTCCTATGTCCTTATAATTAACTCCCCTTTGGCCTGAGAAATTATAGTGGGTTCCTGTTTCCTGCAACCACAACATCTCTGAACAACGCAGCACATTGAAACATATCCTCCAAGCAGATACACAGGCTTGGTGCCTGCTGGTCCACCTTGGCTCCTGATGTGTCCCCTGAGGTCAGCTTTGCGAGGCCTTATCTGTAGCTGTGGGAAGGGCATAAGTCAGGGTACACATGTCGGTATCTATATGCCATGAGTATTAATGCCTGTGTATGTATGATGCCCTATTTGTTGCATCTTTGTGGAGTGCTTTGAAATACTCATTAAAGGTCTCCAGAAAGGGACTTCACCAATCTCCGAGGCTTTGCAGTTACATTTCCATAGCAGGACTGGTGCATTACTTCTGTTGGGACTCCCTGCTTAATCCTTCCGAGCAAGCACAGCACTGTTTACAGCAAGAGGTGTTCCCTTGGGTGATGGAGTTTCTGCATCAAAGTCAAGTTCATTCCTCCAGCATCCAGGTCCCAAGGATGTTTGCATGGTTCTCTAAGTCACAGCATGTCTCCAGCTTGGCGGGGGGTAGGGGAGGGATGGGGACTAGTTTTTCCTGGAGCAGAGCCTCCTAAAGTGGCCCTTAGAGATGTTCCTATGGCGATTTTTGGGAAACCATGATAGAAACTCATCAGAGGAAGCAGAGTGAAAGCAAGGGTCAGTCTTCAATTCATGAGCAGTCAGAACAGTAGATGTTTAGAAAGGAGTCATGGCTGGTGCCTCTTCTGCATGCTTGTCCCATACCCCAGTGACAGGATACCTCTTCCCTGGAGCTAAAAACATGTGCCACACTTCCAGTAAAGGCTGGAGCCACAGAGGGCACCTAGCAAGCTTGCTTTCAAGGTCTCATTAACAAATGAGAAGGGCAGCCCAGGACAGAATGACAGGAACCCCACTATGAGAAAAAGAGAAACACAAAGGCATTTTTAAAGAGCTTTAAAGAAGGTGAAAACTCTTCCCTTTCCCTAAACCTAGCCTAGCCTTGAGTCTGTTAATACCAAGACTGTGTGAATTGGAATGGGAACCAGAAGTGCTGAAGGGAGCCATTGCCAGAGGGAAGAACACAGACTTCAAGGCCAGGTGCTCAGGGGAGCTCTCAGAGCAGCCAAGCCAGGAGAACAGTCAGGAGGACCATGGGCCATGCTACCAGGAATCCTGAAATACAAAAGAGATGACTGTCAAGCGTTGGGCTTTGGGTGTCAGCAGCAAACACAAGGATGAGAAAGGCAAAGTATCTTTAATATCCGGCCTGGTTATAGCCTCTGGGTCTCTCATGGTAAAGGCAAAGCTATCTAATCACTGACCATTTTTTCATTTTCCTCTGGACACACAGGAATGCAATTTTTCCCAGCATCCTTTGCAAGTAGGTGGGGCCATGTGACTGAATCTGGCCAATAAAATGTACGTAGAAGTCATCTGTGCCATTTCTATGCCTGGCCCTTAAAGACTTCTATATATCCTGTTGCTCCCTCATCTACCATTTAGGGAGCAGATGCAGGGGATCCAAGATAGGACTTGCAGGGAATAGTGGAGTTGGCAGAAGTTACCAGAAAATAGTGGAAGCCTGAGCTCCTATCGACTGCATGGAGCAGAACTGCATTCCCTCCCACAGTGATTTAGTGGGAAACAATACTGTTGTGTAAAGACACAGAAGAATGGGGACTGTTTGTTACAGCAGCTAGCATTACTTATGCTGACTAATACTGAAGAGGCAGAAAGACACAGAGGTTAAAAAGCACTGCCTCTGAGGCCTGATTACTTAGCTTTGCATCTCAGCTCTACAACTAGCTGAGCAGTCCCAGAAAACTTACTAAACCTCTCTGTGCCTGTATATTGCTGTATGCCAAAGAGAAATATTAATAGTACCTGTGACTTCACTGGATTTTTGTAAGACTTAAATGAATGACTTCATATCAAGCATTGAGAACAGTGCCTGACACATGGTAAACACTACACAAATGTTGGTTTTAAAAGTTAGGCTCTAAGATCTAGTTCTGCTGGGATTTTGTCTCTTTGGCACATCACTGTATACTCAGTTTCAGTGAAGGACTTGGATCCCAGATGATGACTGCCTTGTATCAGAAGACCTAGGAGAAACCTGTGAGCCCTCCTGCCATACTACCAAAATATAAAATCTCCCCATTTCCCCAATTTCAAAGTAACTAGCTGATGTCCTAGAAGTGAGGAGAGAAATACCATAAATTTCAGACACAGTGCATGACAAAAAATTATAATTATAAAACAAGTTGATGGTCAATTAATTCAAAACATCAAAGATGATTATGGGAGATAGTAGACAATAAAAACCACAAGTGCCCTGTTGTGGTGGGTCAGCTGCCTCAACATCAGACTGATCCCCTCCTTGTCCAGAAGGGGCAAAATCTATCAGCCATTCTAGAAATTAATCAATTCGGCAAACTCTACTGGAAAACCACACTGTTCCAGGCACTGGGCTAACCAGAAGGACTGGCAGAAAGGAATGAGACTAAAGGTCCCTGACTTCAAGCTGCGTATTTTTTATCTGTTTGTTTTGTGACAGAATTTCACTCTTACTGCCCAGGCTGGAGTGCAATGGTGCAATCTTGGCTCACTACAACCTCTGCCTCCCAGTTTCAAGCGATTCTGCTGCCTCAGCCTCCCAAGTAGCTGGGATTGCAGGCATGCACCACCACGCCCAGCTAATTTTTGTATTTTTAGTAGAGATGGGGTTTCACCATGTTGGTCAGGCTGTTCTCAAACTCCCAGCCAACTTCAGCAGCCTCCCAAAGTGCTGCGATTATAGGCGTGAGCCACCGCGCCCAGCCCAAGCTGCTTTTAGAATGAACTCTAATGGAGCATGACTCTTCTTAGCATTGTCTGAAGGTTAGCACTGAGCATAGAGAGTCCATCTTGGACTTATTTGGGAAATTTAAAAACTGCTCTCTAAGTTTGGGCTTTGAGTAGGGAAAGAACCTTTTCATGTCTGGATTTATCAATATAGGTCATTTTGTGGGAAATCAAATCTTAATAGTATGTGCTTTCATTTTGTCCAAAATATATTTCTAGTATTCTATAAATATGTAAAAATGTTATGTATCTGTGTTTGTGTGTGTGTGTGTGTGTGTGTGTGTGTGTGTGTGTGTGTGTGATATTTCTTTGATCAGTCAGCTTGTTTAGCTCCAAGTCATTCATCAAAACCCCATTCAGATGCTACTACCTGTTGAAATTCTTTCAAGACCTTATCCAATACAGTTAATTTATCTTCTAGATATTCTTTCTGCACTATCTACCTGGTTGTCATTTATCGGCTCAAGTGCCTGTCTCACTTGTTGGTGTTTCCGTGCCTATGGGTCTCATTCTCCTAGCATTTTCACCTTCAACTCATTTTTCTCATTTGGCTTAAACATCACTTTCTCTGAAAGTTTTTCTGACCACTTGTCCATTCTAATAGTCATTCTTCCTTCCCACCTTGTTAAAAAAGCCATTAAACATTGCTTAGGCACATGGCCCACCCAGAATAAAGATTACATTTCCTAGCTTCCTTTGCAGCTAGGTGTGGCATGTGACTAAGCACCAGCTAATGAGATGTAAGTGGAGGTATAAGGTGCCAGCTTTCAGAATGTCGTTTGTACTCATTGGCTTCTTCCTTGTTCCCTCCTTCCTGCTGCCTGGATACAAAGATTGGATCTCTGGCTGCCATCTTGGAACATAAAGATGATGGCCATATCCCAAAGATGGTGGAGCTGTGATCTGGAAGGACCCTGGGTCTTTGATGACTTTGTAGTGCTGCCCCACTAGATTTGGGCAGCTTGCCTCTAAGCCTCCTTTATGTGTGACAGAAATGAATGTCTATACAATGAGAACACATGGACATAAGGAGGGGAATATCACACACTGGGGCCTGCCAGGGGTCAGGGGCAAGGGGAGGGAGAGCATTAGGACAAATACCTAATGCATGTGGGACTTAAAACCTAGATGATAGGTTAATAGGTGCAGCAAACCACCATGGCACATGTATACCTATGTAAAAAACCTGCACATTCTGCACATGTATCCCAGAACTTAAAGTATAATAAGTTTAAAAAAAGAAATAAAAAGTTCTTAAGTTAAAAAAAAAGAGAGATGAATGTCCATTTTACTTAAGGCATTATTACTCTTCTATCACATTACTTTCTTTTATTTCTAAAGTATCATGTTTACCTTTTATTTTCTACTTTCCACACTGGTGCATAAGCTCTATGAGGGCAGGCACCTGGGTTGTTTTGTTTGCCATCACATCTTCAGTGCCTAGAACAAGGCCTGGCACACAGTGGGCACTCAGTATATATTTCTTGTTAAAGGACTGTCTCCTCCACTAACTGTGGGCATCTCAAGAGCCACTCTTAGGTCTGATTAATGTCAGTGTCCCTAGCATAGGATCTGGGCCATGAAAGGGGCAGAATTGAAAAGAGGAAGGAGAGTTGAAAGGTTGTGGGAAAGCCATGAGAAAATAATGTACCTGCAGTGCTGGGGGTTCCATTCATGACACCGGGAGACTGTGCACCTGTGAACAAGAGCAGAAGGGGAGGATTTCCTCAGTCATGCTCCACTGACTGCAGCACTGTGGCCATAACTGCTTCAAATCTTCCTAGACCTGGCCATCACAACCACTGACCATCCACACTGTGGGGGCATCTCTGACGTGGCACAGGCACGTTTCTAGACATATTGCATGCATTTTAGACTCAATCCTCCTAACAGATTTGTGAGGAAGGTATTCTCTTCCCCATTTGACAGAGGGGAAGACGGGAGCTTAGTGATGTTAACGGACTTGCCAAGTTGACCTTGCCAGTCAGTAGCAGAGCTGAGATTCAAAACCCAGTATGTTTGATTCAAAAATGGAAGTTCTTAACCTCCACCAAGTTACCCTGTGATGCCACTTGAGGCTTCATGTTGAGAGTTTAGTAAAATGGTAGGACAACCTCAGGACAGAGCCTTCTTCATGAGACAGCCTCCATTTGCTCTGGAGAATAAAAATGGTGGTAATGTTTACCTCCCTTGCCTGCTATGAGCATTCAAGGTGATCACGCATGTAAAGGCATTTGACAATGTGCCAGGCATAAAGAAAGTATTATTATTACTACTATTAAGATACTGCATCTTAATTTCTTTAGGGGAAAAAAAGGGCTTTCATTCTTTCACTTCTCCCTCCTGGTGGAAATAAAAACACTACGTAAACACTACTGCAAACTCATGAGTAGGATGGATGAAAATTTGAGGAGCCATTGGAAAGCCTCCCCATATCATACTCCAGGATACCGTAAATGAATTTTGGAGAACACAGTCATTCACCAGAAAACAAAGTTGCATTTAAACCAGATTTAGGACTTACACTTCACCCATAAGGAACTGAGTTATGGGGACATGGAAGGAGATAGAATAAGGAAAAGGCCACATGTTTTGGAATCAGACTGAGCTGGGTTCAATCCTAACTCTAGCCACTCATGAGTAGGGGGATCTTGGGTGGGTCACTTAATGTCTCTGAGCCTTAGTTTCTCACCTGTAAAATGGATGCAGGCATGGGAGGATTAAGTGAATTGACGGATGCAAGAACTTAGTCTGGGCTCTAAGCACACAGGAGGTCCAAATGGCTATATTGTTATTATTAATCTGAATGAATAGGTTTTTTAGTAAGGGTCAGATTGAGGAGGTAGAAAAGTCCTGAGGAGTTGGGCGCATGACCTCAGGCCTCTGTGGTTAACTGTCAACACTCAGCCAGCTGGTCTTGTCACTGGGATTTGGCCACTTACCTCTCCGAGTGATGGGTCCCAAATCTAGAACCCGGGCTAAGTCTATGGCCAGTACGTCACTGCGGACTTGACTTCTTGAGCAAGACTGTGGGGATGATGAACTCTTATTAATCAAAATGTAAATGCCTGGATTCTATCTAGAGTGGTCCTGCAATGGACAGCTCTGGACCAAGAACTGGGTCCAGAACTGGTTCATGCTATGGCCCTAATTCTGATACTGTGGCTATCTCGATCTAGAAAATTATTACTGTCATCTCAAACAAATCTGGCTTTGAATCTCATCAAGTGGAGACTTTCTTTTAGCTACATAATTTGGGGCCAATGACTTTGCCACTCTACAATAACTAAATAATACCTACCTGGTTGTGAAGGTGAAAATGAGATGTGCCTGCAACATGTGGGCACAAGGTAAGTACTTGGAAAATGCCAACTATTCACAGGCAATGCCAAATGCAGGCAAGAGCAGGGGCACTGGAGTCACCTCTTGGCTGGGGCACATCCTGGCTCTGATATTTTCTAACTGTGTGTGGCTCTGTGGGCAAACACTTCTCTGAACCTCACAGTGGGGTAGATAAAATAATCTACTTAAAGGGTTGTTCTGAGAGTTAAATTAGAAAAGGTATGCAAAAGTTTTAGCATGATGCTTGACAAAGAGCAAGCACTAAAAAAGTAATCTATGATTATAATCATTTAAAACATGCCAGGCCGGGTGTGGTGGCTCACGGCTGTAATCCTAGCACTTTGTGAGGCCGAGGCGGGTGGATCACAAGGTCAGGAGACCAAGGCCATCCTGGCCAACATGGTGAAACCTCGTCTCTACTAAAAATACAAAAATTAACTGGGCGTGGTGGCATGCACCTGTAGTCCCAGCTATTTGGGAGGCTGAGGCAGGAGAACCGCTTTAACCAGGGAGGCGGAGGCAAGATAGCGCCACTACACTCCAGCCTGGTAACAGAGCAAGACTGTCTCAAAACACACACACACAGACATACATACACACACACACGCACACGCACGCACGCACACATGCCAGTGGAAATTAGTAGACAGATTTCCTTATCAAATCTGCCTTCTGGAAACACAAAAATTGCTTAGAAATGGGCCTTTAGGAGACCTAGAGTCTATCTGTTCATCTTTTGTTTTTCCTTCCCTCCCATCCATACACCTGCCCATCTCTTTCCATCTCTTCATCCTGCTTTCTTCCTTCTTTTCTTCCTCTTCCCTCCTTTCCTTCTCCATCCCTCCTGTATTCCTTTCTCCCTCTCTTTTTTTCCCTCTCCCTTCCCTTTCTGATTCCCCTTCCCTCCCCTCCCTTCCCCTCCCCTCCCTTCCTCTCCCCTCCCCTCCCTTCCTTTCCTTTCCCCTTCTTCCCATCCACCCTCCATTTATAATCCCAATAAATATATATGGAGAGCCTATCAGGTACAAGGCTCCATGCCAGCCTCTGAAGAGTTCATTCCAAAGAGACACTCACAGGCTGGCATTGTTCATGAAGAGAATCACAGAGATGAATCTCACAATGCAGGAAAACTAGGTCATAATGTCCAGCAAACATGAACATCTGAACTGAGAACCGGCTTTCGGAGGACCTCCCATTCTCCTCCACGTGGATGGTGGAATCACGTTGATTTGGGCAGCTGGGAGGGTGACAGGGCAAAGGTGTGACTACTAAAAACAGCAGTGGAGAAAATTAAAGAGCCCTCAGACCTCCTCCGTCATGACAACATGGACTTCTTCTATTCCTCTGTTTGCTCCAAGATGTTATCCATAAGCTCACATGGCTTAAATTATTTGGGAGCACAGTCTCTGGAGTGAAACAGACTGGTCTTGTATTCTAGCCCAACCCACATTCTAGCTAAGTGATTATGGGCAAGTTCCTCATCCTTGCTGAACTTTACTTTTCTTATCTGTAAAGTGGAGACAGTAATATCCACTTTATGAGACTGATGTGAGCGTTTAATCAGATAATCCACATATATTGTTTGGCACATAGCTAATCTCAATGACAAATACAGCCAGGATTATTACTATGATTTAAATCATGATCTATAGAAATGCATTTCCCTTGTTTTTGTCAGCAGTGTTCAATAACACTCCATCCCACAACATTTATTGTTTTGTTTTAATATTGACCAGTGTTCACTTCTGGGTAATAATCCATCACTACCACATTGATCCCCTAGTTCTGAACAATTAGCCTGTTGCCAAGGTTATCAAGAACATTGAAACGGAAAATATTGACATTTCTTTACCCTACCTACCTATTTGGTATTAATCCTTTAGGTTAAAATCTCAGGAGTGATATTTCTGGGTCAAAGAGTATGGTTATGATATGTAATACAACTTACACATCTGCCAGGGAATGGATGAGATGAACATTTTCCTATAAACGTTAGTAAGGCCAAATGGTAATTCCAGAATCGCTCGTTACCTGTTTCTAATGATGAAATACTTCACAGGGTCAGCTCTGTCTTCAGTGGGGGTGGCATAGCAGTTCCTCAACACCAGGTTAAACCGGGAGGTGTCCCCTTGCTCCAAGATGGCACCCACATAGAGCATGGACTCAACAGACAGCTCAGCTGCAACCCCTTCATAAGGATTCGTGTAGTTTTGGTCTTGGAAGAGGGCCATCCTGACAGTGAACTCTCCATCTCCGCCCACACTGAGGTTCAAGGAACTGAGAAAAGGAAAGCCACAAGAGTGGGAACCTCAGAGAGAACAACATAAATCAAGCCCTGCACTTACTTAACACGCTTACGAAGGCAACAGCACACATCCTGGATCGTTAAGTGAACTACTGGATCATTCATTTAAACTAGGCATTTATTAGCTTCCAGGCACTCAACTTGGCAGACACGTCTGCCTTCAGGATTTCCACCGATCCTCCCTGCACGAGAGGTTACACCTATCTCCCTCACTGAAGGAATAACTGAGTGTATACCTCCATCTTCTCACTTGGAGACTGGGGCTCAGAACCAGTTCTGTGTGTTCACATTTTTTAGCGGTAGATCTCTTCCCTCCACCCCACAGTCTTTAGTGAAACACCAGTTTTAACAAGATAAATGGCTTTCATTTTAATTTTTTATGAACCAGGATCCCCAGAACCATACCATCTGCAAGCCACTGAATTAGAAAATTTCTAATCCTTCTGATCCTGTTGCTTTGTGAGCCCAGGGGGCAATAAGGAATGAGATGGGCACTCTGGATTTTTTGACACCACAGAAAGTCCCCTGGCAAGTCTAGGAATGCTAAAGAACTGGTTCAACAGGGCCCCATTTCTGGAACAGAAACACAACAAAACAGACAAAAGCCCCTGCTCACATAGAATTCTCCCAAACTGCTATATGATGCCATTTCTGCTGGGGACAGGGGTGCTGCTTATCCATTAAAAGCTGGTCTCTGCTTAAATCTCATGTTTGCAGGGAAGCTGTCCTGTCTCCACTAAACCCACTACCAACAGGGATCTGGGACCCCTTTCCCTGCTCCCAAAGCACCCCACGTTTCTCCTACATTACATCCATCTTTCTTGTAAATAATTATTGATTTAATTAGTTGTTTAATACTTTTGTTCCTCAAGGTGAATGAACTTGCCTTGTGTTTTTGTTTTCTAGCACATTTAGTACGCACCGTTTCATGTTATTGAATTGCATAGTTACACTAATCTCTAATATTCACAGAATAATCTACGTCTGCCTTGCTCATGCTGAACATCTTTAATATACAATCAGTGAATGCTTGTGGAACGAATGATTGAATGACTGGAAGCTTCTGGAGGAGGTTGGCAGTATGGTGTGGGCATCATAGTCTGCACTTGAAGTGAGTGTGATGTGACTATTGCCAGGGTTAGGGGTCAAAGGGCAAGAGTTGATGCCATACCTTACAAGGGGCTGCAAAGCAGCTTGGAGGCTGACTTTCATGTCCAGTGGGTAGACACATTGGAAGTTGATGTTGAGGATGGTGTCTCTGATGATGAAATCATTGACCAAGGAGAGGGTGTTTTTGTAGATGACATGGGTTTGATTTCTCTTTGGCATAAAAACAAAACCACACAGATCTTTATGTATATGTGTGTGTAGGTGTATCTCAAATCCAGATCTGATTTCCAGAGTCAATGTGCTCAACCATGCAGCCACCCTGCCTTCTGAGCTCACGGAGGTAAAGGGATCTCTCTTTCAGTGTTATCGATACTTTATGGGAAGGGGAATGAGGACACCAGATAAAAAACTAGAACAATAAATTATTGACCCTTGGGAAGAGTCAGGAATCAACCAGCTTGCTTCTTTGTGTATCCCTCCCCCATCAGCCCTAATTAAAATCATCATAATTGTAGCTTACATTTATGAAACTCACATGTCAGACTTATACTAAGCTCTTTATGTAAACAAACGTGGGTACGCTCACATAACCCTGGGGGCCCAGGAAAGCTAAGTGGCTTGTCCAAGATCTCAGAGCTACTATGATAGGTCCCATCAGCCCAAACATACCTTCTGGCAAGCAGTGGTGTGAAAGCCACTTACCTCCAGAATGTTCCTGCAGGCACCAGCCTGAACAGGGCTGGTCAAAGATATCCAGTTTCTCTCCTCTGCCTGTATGATGCTGCTGCAGTTTGGGTCTCTCAGGTAGGCAATGACTTCCTCCCCCAAACCCACACCTTCCAGCAAACATTTGTCCAGCTTCACCTTCATCTCCCTGGCTCCGCAGTCCAGCTGAGGCTGCAAACTGTGGACTTCTACAGAGCAGAGATGAAGGCAAGTGAAATGGATACAAGTCCGGAAGCCCACTTTCCCTACTCTTTGGTAAACTCTCCATGACCCAGAAGATTATGTAGACTAGATGGTCCTTGGGATCCAGATGAAATTCATGCCTAGACTGGCAGTACGTGAGGTTGGCAAACGGTCCTCGTATTCAAGATTTCCAAGCATCCTATGTGCAGGCTTGGCTAAGGTTTTTCAGTCTAGTTCCCATTGGGGATTGGGTTATTTGTGGAGGCAGGATGGACTTGCATTCCATACTAGAATCAAAGTTAGATATATGCTACCTTGTTGAGCCAGCACATCTGACCAGGCTTAGAGCTATCATATGCATTAACACAACAGTTATTCAACACACAACTTCTTGAGTGTCTACTATCTGTCAGGCACTGGGGCTACAACACTTACCAAAACTGACAAAATTCTCACTCTTATGGAGCTGACATTTGAATAGGGGGGAAAAATAGTGTACTAATAGGAATACAGTTTCTATTACATTTATGAATGCATTGATTGAGCATATATTTACCAACCACCTTCTCTCTCTCTCTCTCTCTCTCAGACAGAGTTTTATTGTGTTGCCCAGGCTGTAGTGCAGTGGCACAATCTCAGTTCACTGCAAACTCTGCCTCCTGGATTCAAGAGATTCTCCTGCCTCAGCCTCCCAAGTAGCTGGGATTATAGGCGTGCACCACCACACCCAGCTAATTCTTGTATTTGTATAGAGACAGGGTTTTGCCATATTGGCCGGGCTTGCCTCAAACTCCTGACCTCATGCAATCTGCCCGCCTTGGCCTCCCAAAGTTCTGGGATTACAGGCATGAGCCACTTTACCAACCACCTTCTCAAGTGCTAGGTGCATTCAAAATAAAGTAAGACATGGACTCGGCCCATGAGGATTTCTTGGTCTTGTGTAAACACCAACATACCAATAGCTCATTATACTTCAATATGATAAAGATACAGACAGAAGCATGTACAGATTCCGGGGGCGCACAGAAGAAGGTCTAAGTCTCTTGATGAAGCCAGGGAAGGAATCATAGTGAGCTGAAGCTTGAAATGATGGTAGGAGTTTTGCAAGTGAGTAAAGCAAGTGAAAGCAGCCCAGGCTAAAGGAACAGCAGAGGCAAAAGCATGGAGATGGGATACAGGGGATGGTGCATTTGTGGAGCTGCAGAGTTCAGAGGTGCAGCAACCTAAAATGAGAAGGGAGTGTGGGAGATGGAGAAGGAAGAGAAAGTCAGATCACAGAGGGATGTGTTTGCCCACTGGACAGCCACCATTCTGCTGGCCACTGATGAAGATGTGAGGAAGACACGTGCTCACTCAGTCAGCTGAGGATGTCCTTGGAGCCCATCTAGGTACAGGGAGGGCATCCTCAAAGCCGAAAGTCTGACTGTGATAGGCCCGAACCCCGGAAAACCACACTGACTCTCTGGGGCCTCATCCACTCAATGTGCAGAAAGTCTTCAAGGAGATCAAGGTTGTTGGTTGTTTCCTGCCCCTCATCCCAGGCTGCTTCTGCTGAGCACATCTAAGCATCACCCTGTTCACACTGCAGCCCCACTTTCCAAATGCGTCATGCTCCTTCTTGTCCTGCTGCCTAGAACACTGTCTTCCATAGGGACGGGGCGTGTGCTCGGAGGAAGGCATGCTTGTGCCAAGAGCAAGATCAAAGGCCCTTAGAGTTCAGTGATGGAGGAAAATAATCTCAGTGGGAGACTCGTCCATCCTCCATCCAGGGCTTAGTGCTTATTTGTCTATGACATCTCTACCCATGAGCCATCTCACTCTGCTTGCTCACCTTCTGGGACAAGAAACTCATCACCTCTTGAGCCTGCCCAATTGGACTGCTCTGAATTAGTTCTCACAATAGCCCTGTATGGTGGGTATTATGATTACCTTATCCTCATTTTACAGATGAGAACATTCAGGATCAGAGACAGTAGTGACTTGTCCCCAGAAGTCTGCCCTGGTCCCTGACATGAAGACCCTGTGGCTATGAAAACATAGCTCCCACACTTTCAGAATTCTCATCTTCAGTGCCTTCATCCCTCAGGGGTCAAGCCTGCCAATGTCAGAACCATTTCATGAGGCCGTGCCCCAGCAGCTGACCTGGAAATTTGCTCCAACCCTGCTCTGCTATCGTAGCAAACCCACTGGCTTTACAGCAAGTGGATTGGAGAGCCCATTGACTTCAGGTCCAGGTCCCCGACTCGGCTTTATACCTTATCGTCACCCTCTAAAGCTCCCTCCCTCCTGCCCTACCCACTCAGGATGGTAATCATTGGCCCAGTGAGTTGCTCACCAGAGCTGTTGAGGTTCTGTCTGCAGAAACAGCTCCAGGTGCTGTTGAAGGCGAGGCACTCCTCCTCAGGGCGGCAGGCCTTATCACACTTGTCCTCCACAGTGGAGGGGTCTAGGAGATGGGCATGGAGGGAGAAGATCAGGATGCAGTGTGGGGTGGACTTGAAGCCCCCAACTCTTTCATTCCACCAGGGCACAAGAATCTTGCCAAGGCTGTGCAATACTTAGTGGAAGCATCAAGCCTCAAACTCAGATTTCCTGACTCACAGTCCAGTAGAATAAGTGAGAACCCTGAAGCTGCCACCTGAACACTTATTACAGGCAAGACTCTGTTTTAAGAACAATGCATGTATTAGTCCATTCAATCAACATGAGAAAGCACAGCATGGTGGTTAAGCTCATGGATGCTGGAGCTAGAATGCCAAGTTCAAATCCCAGCTCTACCATGCTCCAGCTCTATGATATTAGGAGAGCTCCTTAATCTCTCTGTGCCCCTCATTGGGGTAATTAGGTAGCACTATCTCATGGAACTGGGGAGAAGATCAAATGAGTTAATGCATTTGAAGTACTTAGGATAGCAACAGGGACATTATGAGCATTATGTGTTAGCTGTTATTTTTGCCTTTACCCACTTTTATTCAGATCAGAACACTGAGGCTCGGGGAGGCAAATTAAACTGCCCAAATGGAGACAAAATCTGAATGAGCATGAGTTCTAGATTTTATGCTATACACATTTATAAACTGGGAGATTTCACCCGTGAATGGGAATTTCTGGCTTTACTTGAAATGTCGGAAGGTCTAGCAGCCCCTGTGTTGCGTTCTCGCTGGGCAGGAGCTGAGTAGAGGCTCCTCTGCACCCTCTCCTGTCTCCTGTTCACTTGCTCCACTCACTCTACTGAGGCTGGGGGGCATCTCATTGACTGTGTAGCTGCCTTCTCCAGGGCTCTGCTGCTTACCTGTACAGTATCTCAGATTACACTGGGGAGTGCCTTCCAACCGGTACACATGGTACCCACCAGGGCAGGCCTTCACCAGCACCTCCGTCTTCCAGAGACAGCAGTTGCCACTCCAGTGGGCACAGGCAGTGCGGTTGACAATGCCATCCCCAAAGGCAGGGTGAACACCGTTCAGCCACATGGGAGCAGCTGTCTGGCATCGGTACACAGGGACACAGGTCTCCGGCATCCTCAATCCTCCTTCCCCTACAAAGCGGTACCAGCCGCTCATGTTGTTATCACACTCCTGGGCCCTTTCTGTGTTCTCTATGCTTCGGAAGGGTTCATCCAGGAGGGTGTAGTTCTGACAGGGGTCAAAACAGCTGTCAGCTCCGCAGTCCAAGTCCAGCCCATAGGAACTGGCTGCAGCGGAGTTTCTATAACCTGGGAAAGTGACAGAGTGTAGTTGAGTTTACTGAGCAATGCCACAACCTTCAGGATTTTTTCCCCTCCATGCTCTATTTTGGCTATGCTAAGGACTCCAATGAGATAATACACACAGAATCCATTAATTAAACATCAGTTTCATCACCTTGGGGTCAGAATAATCAGTGAGGACCTTCTGTGGTATGTTACAGGCATTGAGGACATCAGGGTCACCGTCCTGCACAGCCTCCCTCCCCACCTCAGAGTAACAAAGTTTTTTCCTGTGCATCCATGTACAGCAGCCTTGTTTGACCAATATTTGTTTTTCTCATTATAAATGTAATACAGACTCACTGAAAAAGAACCTCAAACATCATTAAAATGAATAAAGCAAAATGAAAGTTGTCATAAGCCCGTCTCATACCCAGAAGTAACCATAAATTTGTTATATAGCCTTAAGATTATTCCTAGGGATGTTTAAAATATATTGCTTTCTTAAAAATAAAGATAAGTTTAATTCTGTGCAACGTCTTTTTTCACTTGCATTTTTTTACTTAATGGAGCATAGATGTTTTTCCACACCAGTAGCACAGTAAACACACGACAATTCCCAATCTTGGCACTATCGACATTTTGGCTGGGTCATTCTTTATTGGAGGAGCCATCCTGTGCCTTGTAGAGTGTTTGGGAGTATCCTTGGCCTCTGCCTACCAGATCCCAGCAGCATGCCCCAAAGTGGTCTCCAGTCATTGCCAAATGTCCCCTGGGAGGTATTACCCCCAAGTAAGAACCACTGATCTAATAAGACCATGTTTGACTGTTGATCTACCATTTTTAAAAACAGTTTTAGACACTTTGACATATGAAGAGAAGAGAAGTGAAGGAGGAAGACCACAGGCTGGTCAGGCTGAGTTTAAATCCAATTCCACACCTGCTGGCTGGATGACCTTGGCAGGTGACTTAAGTCCCCTGAGACTCATTGGCAAAACCACACCTGTGAACCAGTGGTTCTCAAACTTTATCTGTTCCTATGCCTTGGGTCCTGTTGCCATACATGTGTTTGCCTGTCCTATTATCGACTTAAAATATTTCTTTCAATGATTCTTCTTCAAGAATTAGTTTTGTCTTAAAGAATAACATCTGTGATAACATACATATAGTGTACTAGTCATATTTTTTAGATATGCATAAAAATAAACATACAGCAATTAAAAACTGGTTAAGAGTTTGCCAGGCACCCCCAGGATCATCTTGGGATATATACGCCCCATTTGGGGAAAGAAAGCCTTAAACAATTGTTAGAGGATTAAATGAGATAATACGTATAAAATGCCAAGCACAGCACCAGGGTCAAAGCTAATTCTCTTTTCTAGTTCTGATTTGCTGAATGCTGTGGATGCGTGAAGAAGGATCTAAGTGCACACACAAGATCATGTGCTTATAATACATTAAAGGGGCTTTCTGGAAAAAGAGATTTTCAAGCTTTGCACATGCTTATAATACACATTATAAGGGCCTTTCTGAAAAAGAGATTTTCAATCTTTGCTCATGCATTTACTTATTTTAAAACAAGCAATTACTGCATTTGTTATTCTTAGATTATTTCTTGCACACCCTGTATTTTTCCACTGGAAGCCCCCAATGAGCTCAGTTCCCTCACCCACCCTCCTCCACAGGGCTGAAATTTGCACTCTAATTCTAAACCTGAGATTCCTTTCTGCAAGTATCTGAATTGCCCAATTCATAGATCTTTGGAAAACACCAAAGAGATCACTTAATCTAGTCCTTTCAGGAAAAGGAGAAGGCACTTGCCAGTACAAGGTGACCGGGTTATATATTTCTTGATCTTCTTTAATTTGAGCTCTCTGATCTCCCAAAGATATGGGCGTAAGAAGTCATGTTAACTGGCTCCCACTGTCCTTTCAGGAGAATTTCTGATTAGGGTCTTTGAGAGATTGTAACTTGATTTCCATTTTTTCTCCTTATGTTTCCCTTGACTTCTAGCTCTGAGTTTTTGCTTTAGAGCTGCCAATTCCTCTTCCTTACCTGAGCCACCTTCTCTGCCCTTCTATCCTCACTCCGCTCGACAGCTGAGACGCCAGGTGAGCAGAATACTTACTTACCTTGCTGCACCGCAGATGACTGGGTCAGAATGCAGGAGACCAAGGCCAGCCACAGGAGGCCAGAGCCCACCATCCTTTCCATAAGGTGAGGCATGCAGGTCACTCTGCTGTATGCAGACTTCCCATGCAGCTATGGGAAAGGAAAGATCCAGGTAACATCAGGGCATAGGGCTATGTTCTCAGAAACAGAACTGTTGACTTCCTTCATGAAGAGCTGCATTGTTTCAAAGTAGGTGTGACTTGTGGACAGATGAAGTGAGATAATGGAAGTAGGAGACTTGCCAGGGGGATGAAGTTGACAGTAAGCAAACCAAAGGCAAGCTTAGAGCTGGTTGGTACTCCAGAATGTCCTAGAAGGGTCTCAGGATGGCCCCTGCTCAGGTGGAGGTAGAGGCTCTCTGGAGATTGGATAGAGAAAGAGGGATACGGTGACTGTGAATACCCGCACACAAAAGTAATGGCTGCCCTTTCTTAGTTTTATGCACTGGTGCTGCTAAGAGCCCCCGAAACGTCCTCTATGCATGCAGATTTCTGTGAGTGTGAAACCATGCCAAACTGAGTCCCCTGTTCCTTGCTCCTAGCACAGAATCTGACACACAACGGGTACTCAGTAGAGGATTAAGGGATGAATAAATGAATCAGTGGGGGCTGGGGGGTTGTGAGGCAGAAAGAAAGAGCTGCAAAAAGCCTGCCAACGTTCAGATGGTATTTACTTTTCTGGGAAATCCTTTCCCTGAATGGGCAAATCTTTGGATAACTTCCTACAACCTCTGAAAGACTTCAGTGGAAAATAGAGATTTGTTTCTGGCAGGGACATAGTGAGTATGCATGAGATAGTAGGGATGAGGTGCACCCAGGACTGGTGATTCTTAGAGATGAGATCCCAAGTGGAGGCCTGGCTCCCCGGTGGGAGCATCTGGGGCAAGGGAGAGTGTGGCATCTCTAGGCCTGGTGCTTGGGAGATGACTGGAAGCATGGCTGAGTTGGACATAGAGTGGTATCTGGAGAACTTGACAATGGCCAGGGTCCATACTCCTTGCTGGGTTCTGAAAATTTCCAGAAACAAAAAACCCTAGGAAGCCCAGTGGGTCAAGATTTCCCAGGATTAGGAGAAAGCCTCCCGGGACTTAAAGCAGGACTTACCTCCAGTGAGAACAAAGCGTTCCTCCTCCTAGGGCCAACCATGGGAATGCAGCCTGCTGTGGGCTGTCTTTTTATTGCAATTTCCCACCCATGTGGCTCTCCTCAATTGGTGCACAGGTATGATCGGAGTTCTAGGTCACACACTGGGCTTGTTGAATGGAGGTGAGATAAACCATTTACGCAAAGGATGGTAAAAGAAGGGCCCTCCCCTCACAATGTAAACCCTTGAGGTGCCTCAGCATCCTGCAAATGCTTTCTACAAACAATAGTGCCGTGTGCTGAAGGCTGAACACACTGGACACAACTTTACCTCCACAATTTCTCATATTTAATCTTCATAATAAATCAATGGCACTGGTGCTATATTTATTACCAGAAACCAAACACAAATTGAAAGGAAGCTCAATGCCCAAAGGGAAGGAAAGAGAAAATCAAACAGGCACTTGTTTGCACAATGGATTTTCAATTGTACCTTGTGTTCCTAGCTAATCATCTTGGAACATTTCTGCTTTTTCCTGAAAGCCATTGAGCTTGGGGCCAGTTAGAGCAAGGAGGAAAATAAGGAAAGAAAGGGAGGGAGTGTGGATGTTTCCATAGAATTCCATTTCTTGGTCCCTAGAATCCACCCAACTCCAGATTTCCAATGCTGAGGAGTCTGGGAATGGCTAATACGGTGATGATGGATTTTGGAACGGCAAAGGACAGACAAAGGTTCCTGGACAAAAGAAGCATCAGAGTAGCCTCTGTTCTAATCCCTTTTGATATGTAGCCTGCCCTAGAGATTGGAAGGCATGAGATTGAGAAGAGGCTGTAGAGTTTCTTGGACTTTTAAACTCCAGGGTTGGACCTGGTCTTCATGCCATGGTAGAAATCATGGACTTAATAAAAGAGCCAAAGCTTTCTCAGAAAAAAAATGGCAGTCTCTTTTGTGTCACTTTGGGGCTCCTTAAGGAGCCAAGGCAACTGGAGGCAAGGGAGCAAGAGGATCTTGGCATTGGTAACACCTTCTATAAAACCTCAACCTGGAAAAAGAAAAGGTGCTACAAGCCACCTTCTCTCCTCCTAGAGCAGCTGGAGAAAAGTCTCTAAAATGTGGAACTTATGACAACTGGGGCCCACTAAATAGCCGACTGATCCATTCAATCCAGCTGGGTGCTCACCCGTCTTCCTAGTGGCCCGTCTTAACCTTCCAATTCCCCTTAAATGGTCTCTGAGGGTATCATCATCCACTCACTCTCAGCAGGTATCTTGAACCCTACTTCAAAAACAATTTAGGCCACAACACTTGGCCTCTCTCCTTCCCCTATAAACATATAAATAATGGCTTCCGTCCTCCACTCCTTCCCCTCCAACTTCTGATAGGGCGATCTTCGTCCTTTTCAAAGTCAGTTCCTCCATCCCTCTCCTGACCTCTCCATTCCAATCTGAACCATGCAGCCAAAACCTCCCTGCTAAGATAGTCTCATAGCCAAATCCACTGTGTAGTTTGTTTCTGCTCCTTTGTGATTGGATTTGCTTACTGCTTTTTCTGGGTACCTTGCATTTCCTTGACTCCACATGATAGTATTTTGGTGATTCTCCTATTTCTACTTGGAGATTTCTGCTCTGTTGCTGCAAGATCCTGTCCCTAGGAATGCTGGTTAGGTCCCATTTTTCTTGTCACTTCATGAACTCTCCCTAGGAGGTATCAAGGTATCTCATGGTTTCACACACTGTCTCCAGGCTGGTGAGTTCTGAATCTGTATTCCCAGCTTTTGCTACTCCCTTGAACTTCAGTTCCATCTACCTATTGACTGCTGGACCCCTCACTGCAGCTGAGATGCTTGAGACACCTCAAACTCAGCAAATGCAACTCTGAGCTCACTGAATTCCCCAAATCTCCTCCTCCTCATTGTATCATTGATTTTAATCAAAGGTGCCACTGCCCTCCCAATCATCTAAGCTAGAAACTTGGCCTCTTCCTTTCCAAGCTCCTTTCTTTTTCCCTCTACCCCCATTTCCAATAATCCTTTCTTCTTCATCAGCACCTCACCAATCTAAATTCAGCCCATCATTCCTTATGAAGGTAATTTTTTTTTTTTTTTTTTGAGCAAGGGTCTTACTCTGTTGCCCAGGCTACAGGGCAGTTACGTGATCACAGGCTCACTGCAGCCTTGATCTCCTGGGCTCAAATAATCCTCCCACCTTAGCCTCCCGAGTAGCTGCGACTACAGTTGTGGGCCACCACATCTGGCTAACTTTTAAATTGTTTTGTAGAGACAGCGTCTTGCTGTTCCCCAGGCTGGTCTTAAACACTTGGCTCAAATGATCTTCTTGCCTTGCCCTCCCATAGTGCCAGGATAACAGCCCTGAGCCTCTGTACCCTGTCCAGAGTGATTTTAATAGCTGCCTAATGGGTCTCTCTGCTTTCATTTTTATTCTTTTTGTTTCTGTTCTCTCCCCTGCAGCCAGAGGTCAATGTAACATCGGTTGGTTGGCATTATCTCCCATTCCCAGCACTCTATGCTCCCTGGGATCTGACCCCTATTTATAGTTCCAACCTCACCTACAACTTCTCCACCACACATTGCTTGCTCGAGGCAATCTGTGGTTGTCTGGCCTCTTCCTCATCTTCAAGCCTTTGCATTCGCTATTCCCTCAGCCTGCATCATTCTACACCCAGCTTCCTCCTATGTTATCACTTCTTCCAGGAAGTCTTTCCTAACTCCACAGGTACACCTCTTCTTTGCTCCTAGGTCTCAAAGGGCTAATTCCAATCACACTCGCCTGCCAACTTATCTGTCTACTTCTAAAAGCTGTTAAGCAATTTGTGGACAGAGGCTAGGTGTGGTGGCTCATGCCTGTAATCCCAACACTTTGGGAGGCACTTTGGGAGGCCAAGGCGGGCAGATCACTTGAGGTCAGGAGTTCAAGACCAGCCTGGGCAACATGGTGAAACCCCATCTCTACTAAAAATACAAAAATTATCTAGGTGTGATGGTGCATGCCTGTAGGCCCAGCTACTCGAGAGGCTGAGGCAGAAGAATCACTTGAACCCAGGAGGCAGAGATTACAGTGAGCCTAGATCATGCCACTGTGTTCCAGCCTGGGCAACAGAGCAAGATTCTGTCTCCAAAAAAGAAGAAAAAAAAAAAGATATTTGTGGACAGGGAGCCTGTCTCTGCAGTTCTAATCAGTGCTTAGTAAGTACTTCTTGAGTAAACACATGAGCAAATTCATCACATGCATCCCCAGACCCTCTACAGTGAGCAATTCTTCAAACTTAAGGCTGTCCAAGTGTAGGTAGTCAGTCTTAGAGGAAAGACACAAGATCCTACCTCAGGACCTTCACACCTGCTATTCTGATTGCCTGCAATGCTATTCTTCAGATATGCCCTTGGTTCATTCCTTTACTTCTTTTAGCCTCTGCTCAGCAGAGAGGCTTTCTCTGATCATTTTATATCCAATAACACCCATATTGCTCTATCCCCCATCCTTGCTTTTTCTTCCCCGTCAGAAATTGTCACCATCTATCACATTGCGCATAGTTGTTTAAATGTATCTGCCTTTTAAATATAAGCTCTCTACCAGCAAGGGCTCTGTTTTGATTATTTGCTGTTTCCATGGTACATTTAAATTGCCTGGCATTGAATTTATGCTCAAAATATCTGTTGAATACATTGAGCTGAATAATTGATAGAAAACAAGAAAGGCAACGAAAAAGAACCGAGCGACTGAAGGAGTAATTCTGATGTGCTTTCTTTCCCCTGCCAGGTCTTGTCTTTGGTCCTTGTCTCTATGGCTCTATTGATCTTGGCACAGATTTTTCCTTTATGTCCTGTTGTATCAGAGTGCAAGCACAGATGAATGTGTACGCTGTCAGTCATGGTCTGACAGTGGACAGGGGCTGGGATCAGCCCATGGTCTTCCTCCACAACTCTTATGTCAAGGTTTTCCATGCGTGTCAGTGTGATAAGAGGCCCCTTGACTTAAGACACACTGTCCTAGCAGCCCCCATTTGCCAATACACACGTGTGGCTTTCCCTGGGATCAAAGGGTTCTAATAATGTGCCAAGGAGGGCCTTGGCCTCTCGTGAAAAGCCACAGCTGGAGTCCAGGGAAGCAGCTGGTGGCAGAGCAGAGAGTTCCCATAGAAATTGGATTTCTTTTATCCAAGTGGCACAGAAGTCCAGAGACCAGAGGGGTATCTTGGTCTCCTGTAACCAGCCGCCCCATCCTGGGGGACCTCCATACCCACAAAGCATCCCCTACAAAGGGGGGTCATGGATCTGTTCTCCACTCTTGGTGTGTCTCTGGAAGTTGGTCTTCCAGGGAATCTTCTGGATTGGGAGGGAGATGTCCAATGATTGGAGGGAGTCCTGAGGATATTCAGGTACCTGACCATGACTTGCTTACTCCTTATTATCTCTAAGGACTGGGAGACTCCTATAAGCAGGGACTTACTCATCAGTGTTTAATTGTCTTATTAATCAGTGTTTCCCAGCACCTACCACAGTGCCTGGCAGATATGACATGCTCAGATAAATGTTTCTGGAAAACTGAATGAACCTTCTGAGGCCATCACTATTGTCTCCGTGAGACAGAATCAGCAGGCCCTGGTACACTATCATTTATTGTTCCTTTTTTTTTTTTATGACAGAATCTTGCTCTGTCACTCAGGCTAGGGTGCATTGGCACGATCTCAGCTCACTGCAGCCTTGACCTCTCAGGGCCAAGGGATTCTCCCACCTCAGCCTCCCAAGTAGCTGGAACTACAGGCACGTGGTACCATGCCCAGTTAATTTTAAATTTTTATTTGTAGAGGTGGGGTCTTGTTGCCCAGGCTGATCTCAAACTCTTTAATCTCAGCACTTTGGAAGGCTGAGGCAGCGGTGATCCTCACTGTCACCTCAACCTTCCAAAGTGCTGGGATTAAAGGCACGAGCCACTGCACCTGGCCTATGGCCTCATTTCTGAAGTGCCTGACCTACTTAGAATTACTTGTTCAAGTTCTCTCTCTCCTAACAGATAGAAAACTCTGGGGGTGGGAGGCTGGGGCAGGGATTATGTCTGCCTTGTTCACTGCTATGTCCCTGGCATCTAGCACATAGTGCCTGGCACATAGTAGATGCTCAGCAAATATGAATGAATGAATGGATGAAGCTCAGAGACATTG